TCATACACTCTCATCCCCTCCTATTTTGTGCGGTCATGGTTAAGCCACGTCAACATTTATATTGATTTTTTTATAGGGATAATAAGATAAAAAACAATAGTTATATAAAATATTGACATGACTTAACCGTGACCGCAAAAATAAGAGAGAATGATAGTGTATGAAAACTGGAAGGGTAGAGAAGAGCCCAATACCCATAACTCTTTGAATTAGTTTATCAAGTGCGCTGATCTGTGTCCACGTACTCACTACTCTCCCACCAACTACGCGCCAAAAATAAACAAAAACGCGTTACTTCCTTTACATTCATCACACGTGGAGGCCGACTATTTACTTTCTAAGACAAAAATAAAATTGAACTTTTCTTTGTATAAGTTTAAGTGACAATTTATGATCATTGCGTTAAGAAATTGATTATTGGATAATGGTCCATTATTATCAAATCATTGATCTTCCACGTTTGCATAAGGATAAGATCCCGTATTCCAGTAGGTAGCCCAAACAATTTGTTATGCGACCCGTTAATCTGATACGAACAATACGAAATAAAGAATTTCGGGTTAACTTGTTAAGTCGAATCATTATTAAGTAACCTATTAAAAATCTGTTAGCACGTCACGTCATTGTCGGGTCGTCCGTTAAGAATCCAATAAGATATCATTTGTCAAATCTAGACATTACGCATGACAATTTCTTGCTAATCTGTTAACCTGACACGAAACGACACGACTCGTTAACTAATCGGGTCGTTATTGAGTCACAGGTTAAGAACCATTAAAATAACGAGTTTGGTAACGGATAAGACACGAAACAACACAAACACGATCCGTTTGCCAGACCTCTTAGTAACCTTATTATAATGGGGTTTTCATGTGCACGGAATAAGAACTTATCTAGAACGAGAACAACAAATTTTGATTTTCTAAACGCATTAAACACAATCTCATACGTTTTTAATTTCCCACACGATAATCCATTATTAATTCATATTCTGTTACAATAACATTCACGTTACGTAGAAGTTCTTCTCAAGTTGTCTTTGGTTCATTTGGAAACCTATTATATAGATGAGAAGGTGACACGTGGAATGGTCGCGATGGACTCCAAGTTGTGAATTCTTGGAAGGAAAACAATAATTTGGGATATTATCTGCACATGTGTAATAGTATTGAAAATTTAATATTTATTCGTAACCAATTATTATATATTGAAAGAGATAAAAAAATGATTCAGTCTGACGTGGATCCTATGAATCGAGCTATGAAAAGGACAAGGATTGTCCACCCTCCTTGTTCCCGTGCCCTTCCGTGCATTTCTGTTTTGTGTGGTCACGGTTAAGTCACGTTAACATTTTATATTTTTTTATAGAGATAATAAGACAAAAATAAATAGTAATATAAAATATTGACGTGGCTTAACCGTGATCACACAAACAGGAGGGCATGGGAAGGCACGGGAACAAGGAGGGCAGACAATCCTTGTCCCTATGAAAATGAGATGTAAAGTTGGCAGCGTCAGGTTAATATAGTTGGCAACTTGCATTATCTTAGTCTCTACAATTTCTCCAGAATTGCTATGTAATTCAAAAATGAACGGTGAAAACTGATTTTAAGAAATTGAGTTGTGAAGATTATTTAAAAAGTCGAAATACTTAGCAGGTTGAACTACACTGAAATATTATTCAGTAAAACTTATTTCCATGTAAATATTTAATAGCTTTCAAGTTAGGCATGGCAAACAGGTCGTACTTGTCGTGTTTGTGTTATACTAATTATCTTAAAATGTTCTTAATATATGACCCGATAACACCTTGATTCGTTAACTAATAATGTTTCATGTCGGATAATGGGTTATGCAAGAAATTGCAATCCCTAATGTTTAGATATGCAAAATGATATTTTATCATATTCTTAACGGGTCATTCGTTAAAGATATGAATCGTTAACAAGTTGATCCAAAACCTATTATTTCCATATCATTTCGTATTGGATTAACGAATCATACGACAATTTACCAGACTTATTTCAAGTTATAGTTTTGTTGAAATTCCAATTTAAATCTACATTCTATCAAAATTGACAACATTTCCAATATATTCATGAAGATTCCTCAAAATACAAAATTCTAACCAGCAACAAAAATATTCAGGTGGGTCACTATCCATTATCCAACATCATCACGTGATTATTCAATAAACGACATTAATTGAACTTTCAACCTCCACCTTTGTTGGCTTCCCCTGCAATTTGCACGTGTGTAATTTGGCTTATCTACACTCCTCTTCCTCTTGGCTTATTGGCTCAAAAGTAAAAGAATCAAACCCTGCACGTGTGTAATTTGCACGTGTGTAATTTGGTGATGGTGATGATACTGCAGCAACTAGCATGACTCCAAACCCTGGGTGTTTTATACTCTCGTTAAATTTTATCCATAAATTTATTCAATTCATTCGATATGAGGACAAGAAATTGACTAGGAGATCGATCAAATTCAAGGAAAGAGTTAAATACTACTTCAAGATCACATTGAAATTCATAAGGCGATCAATCGATCTTGTTTCCAAGTGTGAATAACCTAATTTATATCTTTTTCTTCTCTTTGTGTGTACCTCGAGAACATGTCACGCGATGTAATTAAATACATGTGTTACAGTTGATTAGAACTATTTTATCACAATGACAATGTTCAAAGTACACCGAAAAAATCTCTCCGTTAGCAGGCTACGTTAGGTTACATTCATCAAAGATTTCCACTTATTATCTCATCCATGATGTGTCAAATTTGGGCAATATGTATGTATGTGTGCCACTTTGTTCGACCTGAGAGTTGCTAACTTGCTTGCAATTATATGAATTCAGAACTTGTCTAATGGCCGATGTCATCAATCTTCCTCCAAGATTTCAGAGATTTGTCATCGTAGTCGATTTCATACAAAAGCGAGTTACGCGGAAGCTCAAGCTAGTAGTGCCCTCATCCAGAGCATTAACCAGTTCTCGAGCTTTTTTCCTCTTCTTCTTCCGTCGACTTCCCGTAGAGGAGGCTCAAATATGGCAGAGAACCTGCATCCATCAAATATTGCAGACAGACAGATTACATATGAACGAGCCGTAAACAAGAAGAAGAAATTAAGAAGGAAGCTTTCGTGAAAACAAAAGAACACCAGCTCAAAAGTTAATGTAAAACAACTTACTGTTGTAGAAACCAAAATGGTAACTCCAAGATTCGGCACTTTGAAATAACTAAGAAAAGAAATTTTGATGATCAGTGAGACTACCCAGCTCAAGAAACCAAAACGAGAAAGAGGAAAAGGAAACAAAACAGAAGAAAACATGAAGAAAATGAATAGCAATTAGCAAGAGATCGGGAAAATATATACCTTTCGATCCATCAACAGGGAAACACATTGGTGAGAGTAATTCCTAGTAACCACCTGAACAACTTTAGCAACGATATCATCCCTAGGGGCAGATCTAAACTTATTAAGAGCGTCCTCATGACTCATAATATGGATGGATCCCAATATGGGGATGTGAGGCTCAATCTCCGGCCCATCAAACTCTGCCTGGAGGCCCTCCATCACCTTCTTGATTCTATGGGAAACATCAGCCGGTGGAATGGCCCAAACGGAATATGAGTACCGCCTCCTGCAGCTTTCCCTCTTCCCTTCTACCGCCACCATCGCATCTTCATCTTTGTCTGCGCAATTATTCTCTATGCTCTCAGGCTTGTGGTTGTGTCCCATGACTGAAACTAAGCTATTCACATAACCAACAAACTCACCTCTGTAAGCTTTTTAGTACAAAGATTAAAGCAAACTACGCGTCCATCATTGTGAACCATAAGAAACTGATTCATTCCACACAATTAGCTTCAAATCAAGGTCATGCCGCAGAGGTAATCGTTGGAGCTCAGATGATTCAGGTATACCACGAAATACCTCGTGACTTGTATGGAAAGAAATGATCACTCTCTCGCCTTCTGGGTCATCAAAAGTGTCATAAACAGATATTTCCTTATCTTGCTCAATTCCCAGCCAATAACGCATTCCCTTGAAGCACATCTGGAAACCCGTCAAGCCAAAACGAAGTAGTTTTGGCTTCTAAAGAAACGGTGTCGACCTCTTTCCAAGAATCACAACTGATGGTGTATACTACCGCTTTTTGTGAAGCAGTAAGTGTCATAGTGTCATCTGACTCTTGAGTACAAGTAGTAAAGGCCACAAATTTGTACTCGTAGATTTGGGATCATAGCCAAATCCAGGATCAATATGTTCTGGCCAATTGTAATCCTCCCCCGGGTCCAAATCTAATCTGGGCCACATTGGAAGGCATGTCTCATCAGGAACACGAATGAATTCCTCAATTCCGGGATTGCATAAAACAAAGCTACTCTTACTATATAGTAAAACAATGCCATTGCAGTGGCCTATAATATGCAGCTGTTCTGGGAGTCGGACCTTCTAAATCAAAGAGTGAGGAAAAATAATGTCCTGGACACCAACAAGAGAGTAGCTATTGCTATTGCCATGACAGCCCTCAGACATATCAAATGCGCAGAACGGGCTTGTCAAAACATATCTAGTGCCATTTCAATTGAAAGGCCATGATAAGCCTTGCAATGCATAATTTGCAAAGATGTGAGAGTGGAACTTGAAACATGCACACTATGCTTTAGAGGGAAATTGAAAGGCCATGATGAGCCTTGTAGTGCATATTCGAGATCCAAATTCGAACATCATGAAATAAATTTCAAAAGAGGCATTGAAATAGAATTGAGAGTTGATTCATACCCGGCTTTCGAACCCTGTCACCAGCAACCAAACCCTGAAACCAAGAACACAAAAACAAAGATAAACAGCAAAAAACACTGAAATTTAGCATAATTTTCGTGTTGCTTATCTTCTTCGTGAAATGTCAGCGAGAGGAGTGGTATGGCGGCCACTTCAGAGCTCTGCCCCGCCGTGAGTTTTCCAGCGCCGGGGTCGATTTTCCGACGAGTTTGCCAACATCATGAATTAAATATTACCGTCATCCCTTTGTTAATCACCCTGTGCAGGCCCTGAATCCAGAAGGCCATATGGGACAGGGCGATCACCAAGAGGAGGATGGTAATAGTAATATTTCTACGGCGGCTCCGGCCTCCAGACTCCGGTCAGCTCTGTGAATTGAAGGTTGATGAATTACAGGGGCTAGCCTATCGACTATCGTGCCCTTATAGGGTCTGTTACAACAAAAACCCTAGACGACGCCGAAGGAAGAAAGGCGTAAGGCGAGGCGGTACTCCTCTCTATATTCTTTCCGACTTCTATTTACTTTCACCCGAAAGCCCAATGGACCACTTATCCCAGCCAACATTAATTCGGCCCATAAATGCAAGTATTTGGTCTCCCGATGCTGTTGCATGTACAGCATGAATCGTTCTTTCTAGCACATCATTTTTTTATGAGTGGATGAAGCATTCGAAAATACCAAAAATGATCCTTAATTTCCTTCACAATCTAAATTTAAAAAAAATAAAAAAATTGGACAAATTGGTAAAAAAAAAAAACATAACTAAACATAAAACTGTATTTAAAAAAATAAAAAAATAAAAAAACAAAAATACGTAAATAAGAACTAGAAACGTCCTGGTTCTGTAGTGAAAAATCAATTAAAAGTAAATAAATAATAAAAGTAGAAAAGAAAATGAAAAGGTGAAGGAAAAAAAGAAGAAGAAAAAGGTTACATGTTCAACCTCAAAGATAACGGAGAAAAAACACAAACGAGTTAATAGTTTTCTCCCGAAGATTCTCACGATCTGATCTCAGTTTAATGTGAGATCCAACGGTAACTACCCATGTACCATCAATATTTAGAGATGAATAATCGGAAGGCAACCAATTTTCGTTTTCAATAGTCCTCTTATTAAAAGTTTCTCATCTTTTAGTTCATGTGGATATTACTTGGCATGCATGCACACTCTATATTTCTCACATTTTTTTTTCCAATTTCGTAAAGGAGTGGTGTGTTGTGTGCCTTCTTAGTTCGACAATTAGGATTTCATGCTATTATTATTTTTATATCATTTGGATTCGAACTAATTAATTGATAGAAAGAAAACAATTAACTCAACACATCTTAGGTATGTTAATATGGTGAAGCTCCTAATATAAAGTTGAATTTGTATAAAGTGATGAATTAAAGTTGAATTTGAATAAAAAAACAAAATAAAAAATGAGCTAAAATTTGTAATTTGTCAACTTTTCCTAGTTTGGCTAAATCATTGAAGTTTTTAGAATTATTAAAAAGTGCTTTCAAACAATATTCTTAAAGCATTATGATGATGTTGGTAGAAAAAAAATGATAAGTGCTTTTAAAGGATAGAACTTTACTAAAAATTTTGACGCGTTCCTAGTAAAGTGCTTATATATAAAAATTGGTTTTAGAAAAGAAAAGTGACAAACAGAAGTGATTTGTAAAGGGCTTTTTATTTGGTCCCTGAAATTTGCATCATCCATAAGTTTAGTCCCTGAGATTTAAAATCAATAGAAGTAGTTCCTGAGATTGTCCATCATCCATGATTTTGGTCCTTCCGCCGAAACTTTTGGCCGAAAGTTTGGGCAATTTTCAAAGATTCGTAACTCAATCGTTTTTTAACCAAATTCGACCCGTAATATATCAAAATGAAGCTAGGAAAGTGTAGAATAAGATTATATCTATTTGGAAGCCCAATGATTGCCGTAGATGGTCAGAAAATAGCCTCAAAGTTGACTAGTCCGAGGGAAAACTGGAAAACTTGCCGAAAACTAAGTAAACTTTAAACGTTCATAACTTCTTTAATACTCAACGAAATCAAGTGATTCAAAAAATGAAAATCATACTTCTCAACGAGAAAAAGAGAATGGTACCTTTTTCAACAGCTAACTCGCCGTGGTTTGTCTGGAAAATAGCTCGAAAGTGGCTATTGAAAAACGAGTTAGGAACTTTCGAGCCGTTTTCCAGCCAAATCACGGTGATTTAGCAGTTGAAAAAAGGTACCATTCTCTTCTTCTCGTCGAGATGTATGATTTTTGGTTTTGAATCACTTAATTTCGTTGAGTATTGAAGAAGTTATGAACGTTTAAAGTTTACCTAGTTTCCGACGAGTTTTCCAGTTTTCCCTCGGACCAGTCAATTTTGAGGCTATTTTCCGACCATCTCTGGCAACCATTGGGCTTCCAAATAGATATAATCTTATTCTATACTTTCCTATCTTCATTTTGATATATTACAAGTCGAATTTGGTTAAGAAACGATTGAGTTACGAAGCTTTGAAAATTGCCCAAACTTCTGGCCAAAGGCTTCAGCGGAATGACCAAAATCATGGATGGTGGACAATCTCAAGGACTACTTCTATTGATTTTAAATCTCAGGAACCAAACTTATGGATAATGCAAATCTCAGGGACCATTTTGAATAAAAAGCCTTTGTAAAGTGCTCATCCGTTCTACAAAGTGGTTTTTCATAAAGACAAGTTTTATTTATAATATAGCACATAGACTTTGGTGGCTTGTTGGTATAGTAATGTTTACTAGCTAATGGTGGCTAACATATAAGTTAAGGGCTCATCTATTAACGTTTGCCAAACAGCTTTGAAAAATGAAAAATTTATCACATGCTTTACAAGGATCCATCATTAACAACATCAATACTTTCTATCAACTTGAATTTTCCTACATGCACAACATTTCATATGTGAATATTCTATCACAAAATACTTTGATATTATTTGGAGTGGAAATTGCACAATATAAGTCATATTTAATTTTGACAAATTTGATGTGAGATCCTTGTTCTCTTCAGCATGTATAGGGATAGACTTCTTGCAGATACGGTGACATTTATCTCAATTGGATTTATGGTATTCTTGAGTTGCTTGAGTTTGATTATGAGGGGAATTTAGCCGACTTTATTATGCCGAACAGTGATGATTATAATTTTAAAGAGTTGGTTGTTTGATGTATTTACTCGTTAAGTGAACAACCTAAAAGTCATCTTAAAATTGTTGTTATTAATTATACAAGGCGTACTGCTTTGCACGCCTTGATAACATTTACATAAGTACTATCAAAATCTCGTGAACGCGAAAGTGATTATCTTTGGCAGGGAGAGATATTGATCGATTAGCTGATCAGTTTAGCGGTTGACATTGCAGATGAAATAGGAGGAGGTAGCTCTTAATTGTTTTGTTTCTACCCTTGTATTCTTGAAAAAGAAATGCTAGCACTAGCAGGAGCCGGATATTCTTTGTGAGGATTTCGAAGATTCTCAAATCATATTCGTTTATCGTATATCGTGTGATTAAAAATCATTGTAAATTTTTTTGTTTAAAATTAAATATAAACAATACTTGATGAAAACTGATCGCATAATATACAATGGACAAATGCAATAGAAAGATCCTATAATCTTCACAAAAAGATCCGGCGAGGATTCTCTCACGGTCCACGGATTGGCTTCCGCCAAACTCCCCCATTCAACTCCACGTGTAACTGAGCCTCCATAATTAATGGTGAGCTGGGCCTCATTGTTAATATAATAAAAAAAATACCATTAAAAATAATTTTATTCTCTCTCTCCCTCACCCTTCCCCTCCCTCTTCCTCCATCTCGATAAATCCAAGAAAACCAAACCACTTTTCCCTCCAACTTCTCCCCCCCCCCCTACATTTCAGTCCGCCCTCCGGCTATGAAATTGAAAAAGATGGCTTCCAAGTTACAAAAATCCCTTGAAAATTCTCGATTAGGGGGTTGGGGGGGAGAACTTTTGAATCATACGTGTGAAATTATACTAAAACATAAACGTCTGATAGCAACTCCTCATTTTTCAATCTCATTTCATTAATTTTGTATCAAATGCAAGAAAAATTCAATCACTGACCAAAAAAAAAAAATCAAAGTTTACAATCCACACAGAAATCCCAAATTGCAAAACAGTAAAATTCAACAGACACCACCATTCATTTCATCATTCCAAAATAATTTGAGATTGGATACATACCTGTCATTAAATCTGTCTGTCCTCTTAATACCAAAACACGACCAATCAAATAATCAATTTTGTGACAAAAAGTTTGGAGCCATAAACTGAAAGTCGTGACCTAAAACTTCCAAATTCATTGTATTTGTAGTGACCGAGCTTAATCTATACTAGAGAATACTTTAGTTCCAGGAACGACGTCGTCACGGATTGCCGGGATGTGAGAGTACTCCACAGCTGCTACCTCACTGTGGCCGTATGTGAGCCAAAGTTTCCAAAGCCACCAACTACTCGGATTCCTCGTAAAATCCTCCCCACGGAAATTCTTATATTGAAATTGCATTCTTCTCAAAAGAAATATCTCTCGAAGACGAATTCCATTGAGAGGCAATCATCGCTAGTTTCTCCCCGAGGGCGTGATCCCTCAAGAAAGAATGTATTTCAATCAATTTAATGATGGCCGTGGCCGGGGTCAATGAAGAAAGCTCCCTTCAACTTAGCTTTCTTATTTTTGTACCACATTAATGTATTATTTGACATGACAAGTAGCACATATAAATGACATCCGATTAAATAGAAGATTTAAATTATGACATTGCAGAATAACAAAATAAAAAATAAAAACAAAAATAAAAAGGAGCAAAAATTTTTATATTGTCAACTTTTCCTAGTTTGGCTAATTCATTGAAGTTTTTAGAGTTATTAAAAGTGCTTTCAAACAATATTCTCAAAGCATTATGATGATGGGCTCGTTTGGATGTGCTTTTATAATAACTAAAAGCGCTTTTGGAAAAAATATTTTTGGGTTCCAAAAGCTCTTAAAATATTTTTTATAAGAAGCACCAGTTATGTGCTTCTTTCAGGAAGCACTTTAAGTGCTTTTCCAGAGTTTACTTGCATATTTACTAAAGCTTGGTTCTAAAAACATTTTCACCAAAAGCGCTTTCAGTCATTTTAAAAACACATCCAGCTAGATGTTGGTAGAAAAAAATGTAAGCACTTTTAAAGGATAGAATTTTACTAAATTTTTTGACGTTGCTTCTAGTATAGTGCTTATATACAAAAATGGCTTTTAGAAAAGAAAAGTGACAAACAGAAGTGGTTTGTAAAGTGCTTATCCGTTTTACAAAGTGTTT